TTTCGGGTAGCCCCCACCTTACGACACCGGAACTCCCACACCCGGTCATTGAAGAAGTTGTTGTCCTCACTGGCGATGTAGCTCAGGGCTTGACCACTCGGACAGATGAAATCAAACGGCTGGTCATAGTTGGTCAGGTAGGCGGCCTCAGCACTCAACACAGCCAGCAGGCTCAGCAACACACAGGTAAGTGAAGTCATTTTTATTAGCTTACCTGGGGAATGTTCATACGGAATAATTATAAAGTAATCAAATGGTATGTAAAGAAAAAAAGTCATTTTCACAGTGTCTGTAATTCACCTGCATGTCGCACATTAAACTTTATTATCTTAAGGCGATGAGAAAATATTGTTAAAAATGTATATTAATTGATCACACATTATTTTTTAAAAAAGAGAAACATCAAAAAATATGCATAAAGTCGTTTTAATAAAAAAGTTATACATAATTATGCACTAAAAAGTAGAAAATAAATTATTTTCTTTAAATATAATAATGAACTTAACTATTTAAATTACCAAACAGAAAAGCTAGGGTTGCTAATATTATGTATGGCATACTTTTACTAGAATTTAAGTAAAATAGAAAAATAATAATATACAGAAATATAAACAGACAGAGAGACAGACAAAGGATGAAATTCAAATAAAAGCTAGTAAAAACATCGAAAATAAATCTAGATCTGAAAAAGACAACTGCGTATTTCTGCAAACCATAAGGACAACTAAAACAGTTGACTGATGTTACAATTCTAATGGCGAGACCACAGAGTGATACTTACCTAGCAACTATGACTCCGCACGTTTCTTGGCTACTTTTATAAATACATTTTTTTACTTCACTCAGCAGTTTTTTTTTCTACATCACTTATGCAAAATCGTTCCACTAAAAAACAAGCATTCAAATTCAAATTCTTTTATTGTTTTCCTGTTTTTAGATCCAACGTCGCAAAACAATCGAGTTTAATTACTGTAAACGTTCTAAAATTTACCACATGATAACGGTTATTATATTATACCCTTAAACCCGTGTGTTGTGTTCAAATCTATGCGAATTGCATACATTGTAAAACATATTCTAAAATGTTTCCTATACTTTCAGAAATGGTATACATTTTTAAAACTAAACATTAGAATTGTAGGTTTAAGTTTATTCGACGTCTGAGTCGCTGAGTCTATTCAGCACTAATGGGTACCTGGTTTTAACAAGTTACTTCAACTAAATATTTTTTAGAGAAGCGTATTTAAAGCAAATGTGGTTAGAGTAAATCAGATGCAGTCTACTGCATCTACTCTACCAAACCTCGAGTTTAGATTATGTTGGCATGTTTTTTTAATAAACAGAAATATGCTAATTTTTTTAAAATGAAGATTAATCATCAAACCCTCAGCTCAGTGTTTTAAAACTTATTGATATGTAAATATCCTTTAGTTTTTAAATATCATTTTAAATATATAACATATATAAATTTTAAAGATACGAATTGACTATGTAATCTAAAACATTTTACAATGTTTGTAGGTTTATTAAAATTAGAATATGCAAATGCGAAAAATATATCACTTAAATATACGAGTTTAACATAATAGCATACTGAACTTAAAAAAATATATTTTATTGTAACTTTTTAGAAAATAAATACCCATTAAGAACATAGTTTTCATAGATTAAAATAACGTTTAATTATCCATTTCAGGTATTAATAAATATAAATGTCTAATAAGTACAAATTAATACTTTAAAATACATCAATTTTTAATTTATTTTTTATAAAAACAAAAAGCTTGTTATGTTAGTATTGCTTTATTTTAGTCACAAATCATTTTGCGTGGTTCTTAGTAGAAATTGGATTGTTGAAGCTCAATCCATGATCTGTGTACCTAGATGATTGATGTCAATCAATTCTTCGATGCGTAAGTAAGGGGTGACTGCTGTTCTCGTGTGGGCGAGATAATTAACAATTTTAAAACGGTCTTCTGATGTCACTTAATCACCACCACCTGCTCATGTTATTCAGGTAGCTTGCATTAAGTGCATAGAACGGTGGTTGTTATGTAAATCTAAAACGGCGGAGGCGGGGTAATTGCAAACAGCTCTACCCCCACCCCTCCAACACCTAATTCTAGCCCTAACTCAAAACTTGATCCTAAAAAATAATTCCGACTACATCCCTGAATTTAATCCACACTTGGTTTTCAACAATTGTGTCGGATGGCGTAAAAAACGCTTTGAAAAAATGTGTTTGAACGAATCGCCCCGGATTAAAATGTCTGCCCTACGTAGGAACCCATCAGTAACAGACTAAATAAGTATTAAATAAACGACTGTATAAAACAGCCTCAAGACATAGATAATGTGAACCTAAACCTTTAGAATGTTTTGTTCAAGATATAACCAGACTTTTCAGTCCGACCTAAGACTAAATCTCTCCATGAAAATCCCGTATTCTATATAACTCAATACAAATGATGCTATAAAATAGCTCCCCAAAAATGAAAACCAGACATTACATTGTGTAATCGTGTTTCACGAAGCGTTAGCTGTTGACTAGGTTACCTCTAAGCACCAAAGTAAGTTGACTAAGTTACCTCTAAGCACCAAACTAAGTTGACTGAGTTACCTCTAAGCACCAAACTAGCTGACTAAGTTACCTCTAAGCACCAAACTAAGTTGACTGAGTTGACACTAAGCACTAAACTAAGTTGAGCAAGTTACTTCTAAGTACTAGATTAAGTTACCTCCAGGCACCAAACTAAGTTGACTAAGTTACCTCTAAGCAACAAACTAAATTGACTGAGCTACCTCTAAGTACCAGCTTAAAATTACTAAGTTACCTCTATGCAACAAAGTAAGTTCACTAAATTACCAAGAAATACGAAACTAAGTTCACTAAATTACCTCTAAGCATCAAACTAAGTTGACTAAGTTACCTCTAAGAACTAAACTAAGTCGACTAAGTTACCTTTAAGCACTAGACTAAGTTGACTAAGTTACCTCTACGCACCAAACTAAGTGACTAAGTTACCCCCAGGCAGCAAACTAAGTTACCTCTAAGTACCAAACTAAGTTGACTAAGTTACCTCACAGTTAGCTCCATACTATTTCCTAGTTTACTGTACCTCGACGCCATTCCCTATTTTACAATACTTCTACGCCATTCCCTTCTTCACCGTGCCTTTACGGCATTTACTACTTCGCTAAATTCCTAAAGGTCCCCGACATAGCTGCATGGACACATAGAATCTGTTATTTCTATACAATGTCCTCGACTGTACCTATCCGTTACGAAATTCCCTAAGTATAGCTGTCCATCCACATATCCCTCTTTGTATGTGTCCCCTCAAGTGTCACCAATCATGACGTAAGCTCATGTCACCTATTTGTCGTGTCTTCCATTTCCATTATGCTTTACGATAACAATTAAGAAAAGGGCTTGTTTTATGATGTGTAATGCAGAATTTCTGAGCGGCCAATAAGACAATATTTAGAATAAAATCAACTTGAAACAGACAATTCTAAAGAATTACACATCTCAAGTTTGAAATTTGTGTTAAGTTTACAAAACAGGTGTTACAAATATTTCAAGAAAAGTAGTAAAAATATAATTTTCACTGTGTCTCTCTGTCTCTCTGACTCTCTGTCTCTCTGTGAGTTTGTGTTTGTGTGTGTGTGTGTTTCTGTGCGCCTGTGTGTCTGTGTGTCGGTCTGTTTCTTTGTATATATCATTAATTATCTGATGTTTGAATGTCTGGATGTGTGTGTGTCTGTGAACATGTATGTTGTTATGTTTGTTCCTTTTTTTCTCTGTCTTTCATTAAGGACAAAATTCTTTTGCATGTCTTTTACTCTGTACAATAAGTCTGTCTAAATGTCGCTCGACATGTGCGGAAACAAAAATTAATTTCACTATAGAGAACTTTTTTTTTATGAAACACAAGTTTATTTAAATCGGCTGCGCAAGATTATTAAATTTTAAATGAAATGATTTATTAAAAGCCATTTAAATACACTTCAAATCATTAAATGCATTAACGAAAGTGGCAATTTATTGTAGCAATAACTCCATGGTGGCTATACCCATCTTTACAGTAGATTTTGCGTTAATCTTTACCTTGTTAACAAAATCGTTATTTTACGATCTTTATTAAAAGTAATAGCTTGTTATTATATTAGCAGTTGAGCTCCGTTTCATTAAAAGATATATTGGTCAGGTTAGAGTTTACTTTAAATAATAAAGCAAAACGATTGTTTTTTAAATTATTATTAAAAAGGCTGCTTTTAAATAATTTTTTTTTACTTATTTGAGAACTCATAGTATTTTTTGTAACACACAAACACATGCACAAGCACACACAGATAGAGACACACGAATAAATAAAATGATGCGTTGGAAAGCTCTATTTTTATTTCACAAATGTGTTAGACCAGCTAAAACGAACAGCCAGCTCTGTGGTTTACAAACTTACAGCTCCTACACCAGGAGCTGTGTCTACAGCTTCTACACCAGGAGCTGTGTCTACAGCTTCTACACCAGGAGCTGTGTCTACAGCTTCTACACCAGGAGCTGTGTCTACAGCTTCTACACCAGGAGCTGTGTCTACAGCTTCTACACCAGTAGCTGTGTCTACAGCTCCTACACCAGGAGCTGTGTCTACAGCTTCTACACCAGGAGCTGTGTCTACAGCTTCTACACCAGGAGCTGTCTACAGCTTCTACACCAGTAGCTGTGTCTACAGCTCCTACACCAGGAGCTGTGTCTACAGCTTCTACACCAGTAGCTGTGTCTACAGCTCCTACACCAGGAGCTGTGTCTACAGCTTCTACACCAGGAGCTGTGTCTACAGCTCCTACACCAGGAGCTGTGTCTACAGCTTCTACACCAGTAGCTGTGTCTACAGCTCCTACACCAGGAGCTGTGTATACAGCTTCTACACCAGGAGCTGTGTCTACAGCTCCTACACCAGGAGCTGTGTCTACAGCTTCTACACCAGGAGCTGTGTCTACACCTTGCAGATGTTCAGCTTCCACATCCTGTCCTCGTACACGTCGTTGTGGGCGCTGAACGCTCCACGGATCACGTAACCAGCTGGGACAGTGTAGGCGAACTTCTCATCGAACTTGTTTAGGAAATCGGTGACGGAACACTCTCTGAACTCCGCCTCCAGCTGGCAGCACTGGAACTTGAACCTGCGGTCCTCAAAGAAGTTCTCGCTGTAACTCTCCACGCCTGTCACGATGTAGTCGTCTGGGCAGACGTAGGCCAGAAGTAGGTCAAACTCGTTTACGTAGCCTGGGGGATGCATTTTTTTAGATTAGATTTGTAGAATAGTTTCTTTCTAGCAAATAATAGGAATACACGAACTAACGAGTTTTTAATATTACACATTTTATTTTAAGACTATATGATATGGTTTTAGTTTTAGTATGATAGTAATATTCTTTAATTTATCTGAGTGGGTAGAAACAATTTTATCCTTACATCATATATATATATATATATATATATACTAATTCAATTTATACTACTTTTACTCAAGGCACATTTATATTCACTGATATTCAAAAAATTACTCCCGGTAAATTAATTTTCAAGGTTGCACCTAGTGCAAGAAAAAGCTGAAAATACGTAATGATATTAAGTATACACTGGGCTTAATATGTTAATCGTAATGGAAGTGCTTAAATGACCACTAATCTTTGCACAATTTTGTGTGGATGAAGCCAACGTTAACTAAACAGTGAAATAGTTTTTTGTGGTATTTGGGACATGATAAAGACTTTAACCAAAAATTATGTTGTAGAGTATTTGCAGGCATCACAATTTAAGAAGAAAAAAACGGCACCGTAAGATATTACGAATGATTTAGGTAAAGCGGACCATCGAATCTATAAGAGTGTAACTAAAACTCAGCATGATGCAGTAAGTAGCACTTGTGAACAGAAGTAACTATGACTCACCACTTTTAGCATATGTCTACAGAAGTAACTATAACTCACCACTTTTAGCATATGTTAACAGGTGTAACTGTGACTCACCACTTTTAGCACAGTTTCGGGTAGCCCCGACCTTACGACACCGGAACTCCCACACCCGGTCATTGAAGAAGTTGTTGTCCTCACTGGCGATGTAGCTCAGGGCTTGACCACTCGGACAGATGAAATCAAACGGCTGGTCATAGTTGGTCAGGTAAGCGGCCTCAGCACCCAACACAACCAGCAGGCTCAACAACACACAGGTAAGGGAATTCATTTTCAATGGAATACCTGGGAAATGTTCATTTGGATTAATTATAAAGTAATCAAATGGTTAGTTAAGAGAAAAAGAATTTTCGACCGTGCTTGTAATTCACCGGCGTAATGTCGCAAATTAAACTTTATTATCTTAAGGCGATGTGAAAATATTGTTCAAGAAAATGTATATTAAATGATCACAAATTATGTTTGAGAGTAAACACAATAAAAATATGCATAAAAACGTTCTAATAAAAGGTTTTATACAATAATGCACAAAAAAGAGAAAAAAAAAATGATTTTCGTCAAACATAATAATGAACTGCTATTTAAATTACTAAAAAGAAAAGCGAGGGTCGCTATATTATGTATTGAATACTTGTACTAAATTTTAAGTAATATAGAAAAAAAAATAATATACAGAAATATAGAAAGATAGACAGACAGACAGACACAGGAAGAAATTTAAATAAAAGCTTGTAAAAACATGGAAATTAGATCTAGAGCTAAAAAAAAGAGTATTTCTGAAAACCTAAAGGACAACTAAAACAGTTGACTGATGTTATAATTCTAATGGCGAGACCACAGAGTGTTACTTACCTAGCAAACTATGACTCCGCACGTTTCTTGGCTACATTTATAAATACATTTTTACTTTACTCAGCAGTTTTTTTTCTACATCAGTTATGCAAAATCGTTCCGCTAAAAAACAAGCATTCAAATTCAAATTCTTTTATTGTTTTCCTGTTTTTAGATTCAACGTCGCAAAACAATCGAGTTTAATTACTGTAAACGTTCTAAAATTTACCACCTGATAATGGTTATTATATTATACCCTTAAACCCGTGTGTTGTGTTCAAATCTAAGCGAATTGCATACATTGTAAAACTTAATCTAAAATGTTTCCTATACTTTCAGAAATGGTATACATTTTTAAAACTAAACATTAGAATTGTAGGCTCCTTAAGTTTAAGTTTATTCGACGTCTAAGTCGCTGAGTCTATTCAGCACTAATGTGTACCTGGTTTTAACAAGTAACCTCACCTAAATATGTTTTAGAGAAGCGTATCTAGAGCAAAAGTGGCTAGAGAAAATCAGCTGTAGTCTACTGCATCTGCTCTACCAAACCTCGAGTTTAAAAAATGTTGGCATGATTTTTTAATAAACAGAAATATGCTAAATTTTTTAAATGAAGATAAATCATGAAACCCTCAGCTCTGTGTTTAAAAACGTATTGATATGTAAATATCATTTAGTTTTTAAAGACCATTTTAAATATATAACATATACATTTTAAAGATACGAATTGACTATGTAATCTGAAACATTTTACAATGTTTGTAGGTTTATTAAAATTAGAATATGCAAATGCGAAAAATATATCACTTCAATATATACGAGTTTAACATAATAGCATACTGAACTTAAAAAATATATATTTTATTGTAACTTTTTAGAAAATAAATACCCATTAAAAACATATTTTTCATGGATTAAAATAACGTTTAATTATCCATTTCGGGTATTAATAAATATAAATGTTTAATAAGTACAAATTAATACTTTAAAATACATCAATTTTTAATTTATTTTTATAAAAACAAAAAGCTTGTTATGTTAGTATTGCTTTATTTTAGACACAAATCATTTTGCCTGGTTCTTAGTCGAAATTGGATTGTTGAAGCTCAATCCATGATCTGTGTACCTGGATGATTGATGTCAATCAATTCTTTGATGCGTAAGTAAGGGGTGACTGCTGTTCTCGTGTGGGCGAGATAATTAACAAATTTAAAACTGTCTGATGTCACTTCATCACCACCACCTGCTCATGTTATTCAGGTAGCTTGCATTAAGTGCATAGAACAATAGCTGTTATGTAAATCTAAAACGGCGGAGGCGGGGTGATTGCAAACGGCTCGACCCCCCACCCCAACTAACACCTAATTCTAGCTCTAACTCAAAACTTAATCCTAAATATAACTCCGAGTACATCCCTGAATTTAATCCACACTTGATTTTTAACAATTGTGTCGAAAGGCGTAAAAAACCGCTTTGAAAAATGTGTTTGAACGAATCGCCCAGGATTAAAATGTCTGCCCTACGTAGGAACCTATCAGTAAACGACTAACTAGCTATTAAAAAAACGACCCTGATTGAAGCGTCCCGACATATAGATTTTAAACGATTGTGTCTGGTGACGTAAAAGACCGCTCTAAAAATTTTTTTGAACGAATCGCCCCGGATTAAAATGTCTGCCCTACGTAGGAACCCATCAATAAACGACTAACTAGCAATTAAATAAACGACTCTGAATGAAGCGTCCCGACAAATAGATTGTAAACGATTGTGTCTCGTGACGTAAAAGACCGCTCTAAACTTTTTTTGACTGAATTGCCCGGATTAAAATGTCTGCCCTACGTAAGAACCCATCAGTAACCGACTAAATAACTATTAAATAAACGACTGTATAAAACAGCCTCAAGACATAGATAATGTGAACCTAAACCTTTAGAATGTTTTATTTAAGATATAACCTGACTTTTCATTCCGACCTAAGACAAAATCGCTCCATAAAAATCCCGCCTTCTTTATAACTCAATACAAATGAAGCTATAAAACGGCTCCCCAAAATGAAAACCAGACATTACATTGTGTAATAAAGTTTCACGAAGCGTTAGCTGTTGACTAAGTTACCTCTAAGTACTAAACTAAGTTGACTAAGTTACCTCTAAGCACTAGACTAAGTTGACTAAAATACCTCTAAGCAAGAAACTAAGTTGACTAAGTTACCTCTAAGCACTAAACTAAGTTGACTAAGTTACCTCTAAGCACTAAACTAAGTTGACTATGTTACCTTTAAGCACTAGACTAAGTTGACCAAGTTACGTATAAGCACCAAACTAAGTGACTAAGTTACCTCCAGGCACCAAACTAAGTTGACGTTGACTAAGTTACCTCTAAGCACCAAACTAAGTTGACTAAGTTACCTCTAAGCACCAAACTAAGTTGACTAAGTTACCTCTATGCACCAAACTAAGTTGACTAAGTTACCTCTAAGCACCAAACTAAGTTGACTAAGTTACCTCTAAGCACCAAACTAAGTTGACTAAGTTACCTCTATGCACCAAACTAAGTTGACTATGTTACCTCTAAGCACCAAACTAAAATGACTAAGTTACCCCTCAGTTACCTCTACACCATTTCCTAGTTTACTGTACCTTGACGCCATTCCCTATGTTACAATACTGCCACGCCATTCCCTTCTTCACCGTGCCTTTACGGCATTTACTACTTCGCTAAATTCCTAAAGGTCCCCGACATAGCTGCATGGACACATAGAATCTGTTATTTCTATACAATGTCCTCAACTGTACTTATCCGTTTCCAAAGTCCCCAAGTATAGCTGTCCATCCACATATTCCTCTTTGTATGTGTCCCCTCAAGTGTCACCAATCATGACGTAAGCTCATGTCACCTATTTGTCGTGTCATCTATTTCCATTATGCTTTACCATGAAAATTAAGGAGATAGCTTGTTTAATGTTTTATGCAGACTTTCAGAGCGGCCAATAAACGTTTTTTATGAATTTTTTTTACAAGCTTTTATTTAACTCACTTCCTCGTCAGTCTGTCTAGACGGAAACGCAGGAGTGAAAATTCGGACAGTTCTACTTGACCGATACGATTCACAGTTGGCACGTGGGTCAAGACATGAAGACAATGCAATCTAAAACTAAATTTGACTTAATTGGATGCCTAATTAATTTTTTATGAATTAATTAAAATTTGGACCGAATTAGTAGGCATGTCTAGCCAACCACACCACACGCGTCATCACCTTCAATAGCTGCGCCATCACGTAATGGCTGCGTTCAAAAACCATTGCGCGCCTACTGAACGTGATGTTCAGTAGGCGCGCAATGGTTTTTAGTCATGTAACTCTATTGTAAATAAAACATGTAAAGTACTGAAAAAAAATTCATAAAAAACGTTTTAATAACAAGCTTTTATGTAATGATGCACTAAAAAGTAGAAAATAAATTATAGACTACTATTTAAATAACTATAAAGAAAAGCGTGGGTGTCTTCCTTAACATTAGTAAAGGTATCCAATAGATACTAAAGTGACCCACGCTTTTCTTTATAGTTATTTAAATAGTAGTCTATAATTTATTTTCTACTTTTTAGTGCATCATTACATAAAAGCTTGTTATTAAAACGTTTTTTATGAATTTTTTTTACAAGCTTTTATTTAACTCACTTCCTCTGTCTGTCTGTCTAGACGGAAACGCAGGAGTGAAAATTCGGACACTTCTACTTGACCGATACGATTCAAAGTTAGCACGTGGGTCAAGACATGAAGACAATGCAATCTGAAACTAAATTTGACTTAATTGGATGCCTAATTAATTTTTTATGAATTAATTAAAATTTGGACCGAATTAGTAGGCATGTCTAGCCAACCACACCACACGCGTCATCACCTTCAATAGCTGCGCCATCACGTAATGGCTGCGTTCAAAAACCACTGCGCGCCTACTGAACGTGATGTTCAGTAGGCGCGCAATGGTTTTTAGTCATGTAACTCTATTGTAAATAAAACATGTAAAGTACTGAAAAAAAAATTCATAAAAAACGTTTTAATAACAAGCTTTTATGTAATGATGCACTAAAAAGTAGAAAATAAATTATAGACTACTATTTAAATAACTATAAAGAAAAGCGTGGGTGTCTTCCTTAACATTAGTAAAGGTATCCAATAGATACTAAAGTGACCCACGCTTTTCTTTATAGTTATTTAAATAGTAGTCTATAATTTATTTTCTACTTTTTAGTGCATCATTACATAAAAGCTTGTTATTAAAACGTTTTTTATGATTTTTAAAAAAAATTATTATTAAAAAGGCTGCTTTTAAATATTTTCTAAACTTATTTGAGAACTCATAGTATATTTTGTAACACACAAACACAAACACACATACACAAAGACACACAGACACACAGACACATAGACACACAG